ATATCTCTGTAGTAAATGTCTTTTTTGTTGTTGTTGTTGTTTGGGTAAATGCCTGGTAGTGGAATTGCAAGGTCAAATGGAAGGTCTGCTTTTAGTTCCTTGAGGAATCCGCACACTTCTTTCCATAGAGGCTGTTCTAGTTTGCATTCCCACCAACAGTGCATGAATGCTCCATTCTCTCTGCACCCACGCCAGCAACTGTTGCTTTGGGACCTTGGGATGTAGACCATTCTCACTGGGGTTATGTGATATCTCAAAGTGGATTTAATTTGCATTTCTCTGATAATTAGGGATGATGAGCATTTTTTTATGTGTTTGTTGGCCATTCTTCTGTCCTCATGAGAAAAGTTTCTATTCTTGTCTTTTGCCCAGTTTTTAATGGGGTTTTGCTCTTCTGCTGATAGATTTGAGTTCATTGTAGATTCTGGTGATTAGCCCTTTGTGGGATTAGTAGCATGCAGATGTCTTCTCCCATTATGCAGGTGGTCTGTTTGCTTTGTGGATTTTATCCTTAGTTGTGCAGAATCTTTTAAACTTGATCAGGTCCTGTTTATTTATTTTTGCTGGTGCTACAATTGCTACTGGAGTCTGCTTCATAAATTCTTTCCCTAGGCCAATAAAGATCAGGAGTTGTTCCCACACTATCTTCTGGGGTTTTTATTGTTTTGTCAATTAGATTTAGAACTTTTATTCATTGTGAGTTAATTTTAGTAAGTGGTGAGAGGTGCAGGTCCAGTTTGAGTCTCTTATATGTGGCTAACCATTTCTTTCAGCACCATTTATTAAATAGGGATTCTTTTTCCCAGTGAATGCTTTTGTTTGTTTTTTCAAAGATTAGATGGCAATATGAAGCTGGCTTCATCTCTGGATTCTCTATTCTGTTCCAGGGATTTATATTTCTATTTTTATGCCAATACTATACTGGGTTTTTTTTTTTTTGAGACAGAGTCTCACTCGTTGCCCTTGGTAGAGTGCTGTGGTGTCACAGCTCACAGCAGTGTCAAACTCTTGGGCTTAAACGATTTTCTTGCTTCTGCCTCCCAAGTAGCTGGGACTACAGGTGCCCGCCACAATGCCTGGCTATTTTTTGTTGCAGTTGTCATTGTTTAGCAGACTCGGGCCAGGTTTGAACCCAGTGTGTGTGATTGGTGCCATAACCACTGTGCGATGGGCACTGAGCCAATACCATGCTGTTTTGATCACTATAGACTTGTACTATAACCTGAAGTCTGGCAAGGTGATGCCTACTGATTTATTCTTATTTTATAGAATTACATTAGCTGTTTGAGTTTCTTCTGGTTCCATACAAAATGTAGAATTAGTTTTTCAAAATCTTCAAAGTAAGACATTGGTATTTTGGCTGGGTGTGGTGGCTCATGCCTATAATCCTAGCACTCTGGGAGGCTGAGGCAGGTGGATTGCTTTAGCTCAGGAGTTCAAGACAAGCCTGAGCAAGAGCAAAACCCTATCTCTGCTAAAAAATAGAAAAACAAGCAAGGCATTACGGCCAGCGCCTATAGTCCTAGCTACTGGGGAGACTCAGGCAAGAAGATCCCTTGAGCCCAAGAGTTTGAGGTTTCTGTGAGCTATGATTGCCAGGGCACTCTAGCAAGGGTGACAAAGTAAGACTCTGTCTCAAAACAAACAAACAATCAAACAAACAAATAAAAAAAGACATTGGTATTTTAATGGGGATTGCATTAAATCTGTAGATTGGTTTGGGTAGTATAGATACTTTAACAATATTGATTCTTTCAAGCCATAAACATGCACGGTATATATTTCCATCTGCTAACATCCTGTTTCTTTTCTCAGTGATGTGTAATTCTCTCTGCAGAGATGCTTCACATTCTTTTTTAGATATATTCTGAGGCATTTCATTTTGTTTGATGCTACTGTGAAGGGTATTATATCTTTGATTGATTCTCAGCCTGACTCTTGTTGGTGTATATGAAGACTACTGCTTTGTGTACATTGATTTTATAAACTGAAATGCTGCTGTATTTCTTGATCACTTCAAGGAGTCTCATAGTTGAGTCCTTGCAGCTTAGGATCATATGGTCTGCGAAGAGGGATAGTTTGACCACTCGTGTTTTTCTTTAAACTCTTGAGTATATTGAGCCATCTATCATTTTCACAATTTCTGAGTCTTGTTTCTATTAAATTATTTTATCCTTACTATGGATCATATTTTCCCACTTGTCAGTATATCTGGTGCTTTTTTTAGCTGAATGTTGGATATTGTAAATTATATGATGATAAGCATCTGGATTTTGTTATCTTCTTTCAAAGAATGTTAGGTTTTGTTCTGGCAAGTGACAAATATTACTTGCAAAGCAGTTTGATCTTTTTGAGGCTAATTTTTAATTCATTAGGATGGGTCTAGGTGAACCTTTTCCCAGAGATAGTTTAGCACTATAACTAAGGCATAATTCTGGAATCATTTTTTTTTTTTTTAAGACAGTCTCATTATGCCACCCTCAGTAGAGTGTCATGGTGTCACAGCTCACAGCAAGCTTAAACTCTTGGGCTTTAGTGATTCTCTTGTCTCAGCCTCCCAAGTAGCTGGGACTACAGGCACCCACCACAATACCCGGCTATTTTTTTGTTGCAGTTGTCATTGTTGTTTTAGCTGGCCTTGGCTGGGTTCGAACCTGCCAGCCTGGTATATGTGGCCAGCGCCCTACCCACTGAGCTACCGGCACCGCCCATCTCTTCTGGCATCTTTATTGAATATGTTGGGTGATCAAAAAAGACTCTCCACTTCAGCAGCTTAATTGAAGCTTAAATGTCTTTCTGTCTTTTGTGAGCTTTGAGAATTTATAGTTTATTGCTTCTTTTTGCCTGGTTTTGTTGAATTTCCCTAAATGCATACAAAGTTTAGTATTTAGCAAACACTCAAAGGACCCCATGCAGAGATCTGGAGTTTTTGGTGTTGTCATTGTTGTTGTGTTATAGTTCACTCCTTTCCAGAACTCTGCTGTGCAACTACTAGTTACCTCAGCCCCCCTGAATTCCAGTCTCTGTCTTCTCGATTCCGGGAGACTACCATGTTCTGCTTGGAAGTTCCTTCCTTGAACTGCAGTCTGGAATCTTTCTCCAGGCAGAAATTGAGGGAGGTACAGGACTCACCTGGTTTGTTTTTAGGGATCACATTTCTGGACTATTGTCTGAAAATAATTATTTTTATGTATTTTGGTTTATTTTCTATTTTCTTTTCTTTTTTTCCTCCCTTCCCTTGTTCCCTCCTTTCCTTCCTTCCTTCCATGTGGATTATTATAAGGGCGCATACAATTGGGCTACATTGTTTTATATTTGTCAAGGTAAAGTCGGAGTTGGGTCCATCACCCAGGAGGCATGGCCTATACCCCTACATTGTACCCGATAGGTGGGAGCTTACTGAACCTCCTACCCCCTTCCCCCTCCCTCCTTATTTCATATATTTTGAAGTGATAGTTTTCTTGCTATTTAATATGTGAGAGTAATTTCATTTAGAAGCTTTTTATTGGCCTTGTAATTAAGTGTTGAAAAGGAGAGGAGGAGTTACAAGTCTGTGGTCACTTCACTGTATTTAACTAGAAGTCCTAGACTCCTGAAATATGTTTGGATATTTATGTTTAACAAACTATGCTTTTATCACACAGCAAAAATCTCATGTCATGTAATCGTGCTTTTCACAAAATAATAATAAGACTTTTACAAAGCATTAACGCATAATGTCCCACAGGCACTGGACATGGCTGTGGAGTGTACAATAAACATGTTCTTTCATTCTATCAGTGTATTAATGCAACTGTTTGCTAAACTGCAGTCGGTGATAATGTCAATGAGCTAATGGATAGGTCTGGCTCCAGGTGCCCTCCTTTGCCAATAGCTCCTCTGAAACACCCTTACTCTTTTTTTTTTTTTAGACAGAGCCTCAAGCTTTCCCCCTGGGTAGAGTGCTGTGGCATCACAGCTCACAGCAACCTCCAACTCCTGGGCTCAAGCGAGTCTACTACCTCAGCCTCCCAAGTAGCT